CACTTTACAATAATTTAAAAATAGGAATTTATATACGTAAAAGTGAATGGTGAGTTTAACTTTTTCAAAAGAGTGAGAGTACAAGAACAGCCTTGAAGAACCAAATGGCCCCCTTCTTATCCATAGTTATTGTAATGATACATTATACATAACACATTACACAATTCATGAAGACTGGATACTTGACATAATTTTATATTATAAATTAACAATCATATAGCTAACATATTAGTAATACTAATAATAGGCATCTGTAAATACACGGTATAGCATTGACAGTGGTAACACACAACTGTCCTACTCCCCATTACAATTTTCTTTTAATATTCCCAGTTAAGTATTTAAAAGTTGTAGCTCAACATACATTTTGTGTAACATGTTTACAATGCTTCATACACCTCTGTTAAAATAACAAAGGAATAATAAACACACTGTACAGGATTAAGCTCAAAGTCAGTCATCATATGCCTGACTGTTGAATTATGACACCACAGTTAGTTTTACTTGTACTAATGACATAATATTTCAAAAAGAATATTGCTTATAAAGTAAGTAATAAAATTTTATATGATTTATAAGTGATAGTAATAATGAGTGATGTGTATGAATGATTATTTGTCGGAAATAAATAATGCTCAAATTGTTCTTCACAATATTATATATTTCTAAAGAATGGGTGTGCAAAGACAGCCCAAAAAAGATCAAATGGTACTTGTTGTTCATATCTTTTGTTAAACTCATGTTATTTTTTAGCAATTAAATGGTTCCTCTCTCAACCTCCCATAAGATGCTAACCTTCATTACTGCCAATGACAACTGATGCAATAAAACAATCATACTGTTATGATGTGAACATCTTTTCCAAGCTAGAAAAGTGTGATTATAATTAATTATACTTATCATAACACATTAGTATTAGGCCTATTATATTTTTAACACTGCACTCTTTAAGTTATCCCTTAGGGATTTTTCAGTAATTGGAAAAGTGTATAATAATAGTATTCCAACCACACTAAGTCTGCTATATTTACTGTTGATGATGTGTTTCTTTCTATCCAGGGCTCATTATATCAGTTAAGGGCACAACAAACATAGTAGTGGTTGGAACACTATTTACATAACCCAACTGTTACAACAACATCTGTTATAGTGTGAATGGTTTTTCAAACTGGCAAAGCATGATTATAATTATTCATACTTTTCATAGGACAATATTAAACAATCATATTTTTAACACTACATTATTTATTGAATCCATTAGAGATTTTCAGGAACTACAAGAGTGTATAATTAGTTATGTAGCCAGCTTAGAAAAAGCTTGCCCCAGCCAGCTTGATGGGCTATGAATTGAACAAAACACATTGTTGGCAACGATATGGTACACACAGTGAGGTTCAAATACTATTATTATACACTCTTCTAATTCTTGAAAATCCTTAAGGGACTAGGTAAGGAATGAAGTGTTAAAAATATATATAACAGACCTAATACAAATGTAATATGAAAAGTATATTTAATTACATCAATAATACTTTCAGAAAAAATAAAACTTCACTGGAGCCAATCAAACCATAATCTTGTATCCTTTCATCCTATTTTCTTCAGGATGAAGCAGATAGATATCCAGTGTCTTTATCCTATAGATCCTCAAAATAATCTTTTAAACTTACATAAGATCACCTCTTATTATCTCACTAGTGGATGCCACAACTTTATAAGAGTTTATGAGGAGAACTGGTGATTTACTGACAAATAAGTAATTAGTATAAATTTTTACTTTTTTTCAAGAACTGCTGTGCAAGGACAGATTTGAAGGACCAAATGATCCAGTGTTGTTCATGCATGTTATTGTTAAGTTACACTTTGCAAGGTTATATGCTACCATTAACCCTTTCCAGATGGGTCATGGGTCAAAGGCCATGTCATTGCATTTGTTGACTCATATTCAAAATTCTATTGAACTACTATTTCATAAATTTGGTATCAAACTGTAGATTATAATTCAAATTTTAGTATTATACATTATTCAATTTATTAGTTTAAAAGTAAATATTAAAAAAAACAGTTAAACATCAATTTTTGTGTGTCACGATGGTACACTGAATGCAGCACTGGTTCAAATTAGATATATGTGATTTCAAAATACTAAGTCTATAGTTTTGTATGAATTAGGAACTCAAATTGCCGATATTGACAAGCTAGAATATAAAATAAGAATCTCGTATCTTTTCTATTTGCTGATATATCACTCATGTAATGAATCCAACACAGTGGCCTGCTCACCTCTTTCCATTTTTGGAAACAGTGTCTTATATACACTTACTTCAATATATGACATGTGAATAACCAATCGAAAGCTTAGAGTGTCCCCCTAGTGGCTTTCTCAGCCATTTTCATGTGTTGGGATGCTATCTCTTTCTTTCAAACCTAGATTTCAATGAGGTATGTTCTGTCTTTAGTCTGCTCGAAATTTCATTTTTTTAGACCCAAATACAGCTTAACTACTAAGCTTGATAAATTATAGTATAATTCTATGGTATTGATGTAGTGACTTATGATTTTTTAGTTATTCAAAAGTATATATAAAACCTAAAAAAATATTTTGTTTTATATCATCCATGTGCAAAATTTTTAAAGGCTTAGCAGCTTACATCAAGCAGCAACCGTAACTAGAAGAGATAATTGTTTGCTTTACTTCTTTACTTACTGTTCTGTGTTTTAGGAAAAATAACTAAGAACCTATTTCTAAATAGTAATAATGTATACATATATATATAAAGTATCATAATGGAAATGTGACTGTATTTTACAAAATATTAGTCTACTAAAATGCAGCCAAGACAGGTCACTTTGTAAAGACTAAAGGTCAGTTTTATATTATTGGATACAGTAACTTTAGAGCACGTGTGCCTCGTCATTGTAACTTCTGTATTGTTAGCCACGCATGGCTGAAAGGTACAAATAATATATATATATATATATATATATA